GTGGCTGTTGCCTTCGTAGGAGCTGGTGTTGCTGCTGAGGCTGTCGACGGGCGAGCGGCCGGTGGGCTCGTGCCGGGGCTGGTGGGGGAAGGTGCTGAGCGGGGTGGCAGTGTTTCTTTCCCGGTTGGGCGAGACGGGCTCCGACTTGATGCTGATGTTGGGGTTGGTGTTGACAGTCAAAGTGGTGGTGTGGGACAAGTGACTCCCTTGTCTGCGCAGCCGGAAGGGACGAGGTTGGGAGAGGAGGAGGAGGAGGAGAAGAGGAGGGGGAGGAAGGGGGAGAAACAGATGGAGGGGGAGATAACGGGAAGTTTCTCATTATTCATCTTTCCGGTGGTGTGGACCTTCTGCTCCACAGAATTCCTAACCCACACACCCCGCGGCTGAACGGATCCAGAGTTATGAATCTGGATCAGATTATGAATCCGGATCAGATTATTAATCTGGATCAGACTATGAATCCGGATCAGATTATTAATCTGGATCATCTTATGAATCTGGATCAGATTATGAATCCGGATCAGACTCTGAATCTGGATCAGATTACTAATCTGGATCAGATTATTAATCCGCATCAGACTATGAACCTGGATTCCCAATTAGAATTACAAATTATTACAACTCCAGAATTCATAATCCGCACACTCACCACAATGCATCACCGCTGCGCTGGGATTAGACCCCGTGCAACCCTGCGGACACCCCCGGCACCCCGATCCCACCCCGATCCCACCCCCCGTCCCCGCAGCAGTGATCCAAACACTCGGAGGAGAGGGACAGGCTGCAACACCCCAGTCCCCTCCCCACCCCGTGGGCACCCCTACGGCTCTGCCCCGGCATCTTCCATGGGCTGAGCAAACCCGGTGGGGTACTGGGATGGGCGGCTTTGCTCCAAACAGGGAAAATCTTCAGCCCCTTTATTACAACCCAAAATTCATAGAATCATAGAATGGTTTAGGTTGGAAGGAACTTTGAAAATCATCCAGGGCCACCCCCTGCCCTGGGCAGGGCCACCTCCCCCCAGCCCAGGTTGCCCCAAGCCCCGTCCAACCTGGCCTTGACCACCTCCAGGGATGGGGCAGCCACAGCTTCTCGGGGCAACCTGCCCCAGGGGCTCACCACCCGCACAGCCAACAATTTCTTCCCCAGATCTCACCTCAATCTCCCCTCTGTCAGTGTCAAAGCGTGCCCCCTCGTCCCACGGCTCCCCTCCCCGATCCAGAGTACCCTCCCAGCTCTCCCGGAGCCCCTTTAGGTCCAGCTGCTGGGGAAGCTGCTGCCCGCCCTGCCTGGAAAACGGGCTCCGAGCAGCGGAGAAATGCACCGACCTCACCACGCCAACACCCGGTGCATCCATACATCCACCCGGGGATGTGAGTTTTACTCCTAAACTGGCGCTGGGGCAAAGTCACTGAATCCCCCTCTTCAATTCCTGCCTTTGTTTTTTTTTGTCCCACGGTCTTCGTGTGACTGGGGGCAAGCTGCTGAAATCTTTATTTTGACTACGATGGGCTGCAAAAGCTCTGCGTGTGGATGCTTTATTCCAGACTAAAAGCAGATCCGCTTCAGAAAACCTGCTCCAGTGTGCGAGTGGATGTATTGTTGTTTTTTTCCCCAGAGTCAAACAATTCATTTTCAATTTTAAAAGCCACCTTCTTTCTACACTAGCGGGACCACTTAAGACACCTTCTTCTGCAATGACCATCCCATGTAACTCGGATTCCTGCGGGATCTCAGCTCCCCCCACGTGAAGCGAAGACCTCAATCCTCCTGCTGCGGACAGAAGCAGCTCTGGGAGAGCATCACCTAACACACCGTCACCCTGATCTCATCCGGGGACTCCAGGGTCACTCCTGCCACGGTGGCAGGGACAGGATTCCCCAAACATCACCAGCTCACTGCTCTGGCTCCTCCTGCAGCCGTGGGCACGGCTGCTCCTGCCTCTTAGGAGCACAACGCAACCCCACTGTGGCTGCCCGCAGCGGGAGGCGCTGGATGCGCCCGCGGAGGAGTCGCAGGTTCTGCAGGTTTGGCACCTCGGGGGAGTTCCCCGCTCCCTTCTTGCCTTTCATGACACCACGTGAGTGGCCCGTGACACCGTACCCCTCTCACTTACATTAAATTTCCTAGTGATACAGGAACCAGGTGCTGCTGCTGCTGCTGCTGCTGCTGCTGTTGCTGCTGCTGCTGCTGTTGCAGTAGAAGCTGCCGTGCCACCTGGAGAGCCTGCGAGGAAAGAGGTTTGAAAATTGAGTTGCCAGCAGACAAGGAGTTTTTTTAAGGGACAGCCCACCAGGTGAGCTGAACGCCGGCAGCGAAGACAACTCAGCGCTCGTCAGCTGATAATCTGGAAAGGAAAGGAAAGGAGCGGAGCCCTTCAGTCATTTCAATGTCAAACCTCCTCCGGCGGAGCCCTGGGCACTGCAAGAAGATGGAGACCCGCTCAAGAGAGGCAAAACAGCCACCACTTGTAGAATTTGTCGAATCTCTGAATTTCAGCCATCACTGTGAGTTGCAGAGAGAGCATCTGGGGATCGCGCAGTGGCCGGTCCAGCCCAAGCCACAACAGACGGCCACAGAATCATAGAATGGTTTAGGTTGGAAGGGACCTCGAAGATCATCTTGTTCCAAACCCCCTGCCCTGGGGGGGCACCTCCCACCAGCCCAGGTTGCCCAAGGCCACCTCCAGCCTGGCCTTAATATCCCAATGGGTAATGGGTATAATGGGCCTTAATATCCCGTGGGACACACGGAGTCACAGAACGGTTTGGAGTGGAAGGGATCTTTAAAGGTCATCTAGTTCAACCCCCTGCCATGAGCTGGGACACCTTCATGGAGATCAGGTTGCTCCAAGCCCCGTCCAACCTGAGCCGGGATGTTCCCAGTCCGACCCGGCCTGGGATGTTCCCAGGAATGGGGCATCCCCCACCTCTCCGGGCAACCTGGGCCAGCGTCTCACCGCCCTCAGCGGAACACATTTCTTCTTTAGATCGGGTCTTCTTCTCCCTCCAAGGCAGGAGCCGCTAACGAGACCCCC